TCCTGAGTGAAACACACTGCATTCCTGTGCTTGCAGAATCCTCAGTTACAACCGGCTGAGATGCATCCCGCCTCGAACCTTCGATGGGCTGAAGTCTCTTCGCTTACTGTAAGCATCTTACGTTCAACAAGGCACTTCTTCCTCAGGGATCAAGACTTGAGTTGTCTTTTTAATGATTTCATTGAGTAGTTGATTCTTGGCTGTCTTGGGATCCGTGCGTTGGGATTTGCGTAAACAGACAAACAGGAAAATTGCATCTTACTGTCGGTTCATAGGTTTTGTCTGGATAAGATAGCACTCTGTTCTGTAACAGTAGCTGCTCTAGTCATGGATTTGATTATATGTAACACTAAGATATGTGTTTTCTAGTATCCAATTAATTTTGAGAGGAAAAGGGAAATCGAATTACCTTAGAAATTACATAGTACATGAATGCATCTTGACTGTGCAAATGTACTTTAAGGTATGAGAATAAAACACAATCCTCAACCCCACTTCCCTAATCCAAGAATTGACAGTTAAACAGTTTGATATGCTCTTCCGCTCTTTTCTTATATACATTTTTTTATATTCTAATATATGGATGGCCACAACTACATAACATTAAGAGCCGTAACTAGCATGTCGTGCGGTTCTGTCGTTAGTAGTTTTAAACATATGCTTTGCACCGTCTCCCTTCCATCATACTCAGCCGTCACTCAGCTCTTGAGCTGATGCAGAGTATTCCGTTGATTGTCAAAACCATCCCTTATTTAGTTCTCCTTACCTTTCCTACCCTTTGGTTTCGTTATAGTTCCGTTATGCTCTACCTTATTCTCATGAACATCTAACTCATTCTCCTGGGTGCTGCTGTGCCCACATTTCCAAAAGACTTAGTGAAGGAAAGATCGTCACGTATATTGGGAGGACATGAAAGTAACTGTCAAGTTGTCCCCTAAATACAGTTTTGTCAGTTGGCAAACTTTTCCTTCCACTGGAGAATTAGTACCTCGTACGAACCACTCTCACAGTGAATATTATTAATGTTTTTATTTTTGTCCCTACGACAGATGGAAAATCATTTTTCCTTCCTGTTTCAATTTGCATTTTCAATGACTGGAACATTTGAATACGTTTCATTTGTTTATTGAGCACTGTGCTTCTTATTCCATTAAGCCTGACAATATTGTTTCCCTCCTGTGTAACAGGTACTTTGTTTTATCAGTGTCTTCTGCATCTAGTACTTGACCTTCTGCCGTAGGTCTTCTTAAACAGGAATTAATCACTGCATTTATAGTCGTCGAACATACTTGCTGTCCTGCTCTTCATAAGGAATCTTTTGTCAGATGAATTTACTTTATGTCGTCAATAATGTAGCTTTCTTTCCCTTTATGGTTTATGGGTTTATGTCATGCTTTTGAAAGCCTCCCCATCTCATATTTATAAAAAAGAGCTCTTCTGTATATTCTTTTAATACATTTTTAGTTTTATTTTCACCCTTAACTCTCCAATCTGGAATTTGTCTGAGGCATGTGATGTGAAGTAGGAAGTAACCTTTTGCTTTCCCAGGCTCGTATCCAATTGTCCCAAGATGATTTATTACATAGACTCTTTTCTGCACTGACTTCATGCTTATTATAAACTGAAATCCCACAAATGCCTGGGCATATTTCAAACTCTCTGAAATATAGGCATAATTTTCCCCCTTTTTTTTAAATTGTGATTTTCAGTTTGCATGTAGTTATTGTACGTGTTAGTAGGGTATAGTGGGGTTTTTCAAACACGCCTACGGTGTGCTCTTCGTCTTCAACAGTGGACATCGCATGTCAGTTCAGTAATAGTCCTTCTGGATATTTTTCTAAGTGTAATTTTGCTTGTCTTGCTTCCAGCTCTCTACATGGGAACGACGTTTCGGTCGTGCCTGAAGGCGCTTTCAATGACCTTTCCGCTCTGTCCCACCTGTGAGTACCGAGGCCACCCGCGTAGGCTCAGGGGCTGACTCTGCACAGTAGCGACTTAGGAACGCTTCCCTGCCCCCCTTTTTATCTCCATGTCACGAGACACTGGACGTGATTCTGTGTACACAATGGCTGGGACCGCCTTCCTGTGTCTGTCCCGTTAGTCGGACTCTCCTCACCTAGCTAAAGGAGTCTCTTCTGCGAACATGACTTGCCAGCTTCACTAGTGCCCACCTTTTCTGATCACCCCCTATTTCTAGGACATCAGCTCCCCTACCAGTAGGTCTCCCCACCCTGCTTTCCAAGTCCCAGCCCAAGTAGTGCCTCCTCCACGAAGCTCATTCTGATTGACTTAAACTGGATTCATTTACTTTGCGAGTGTCACTTGGCATCCACTATGGCACCATGGAACATCCACGCGCCATGGCTGAAGGCTTTAAAGCCCAGGAGTGGGAAGCCCACCCTCACACTGGATCTGTTTTTCCTGTGTTTTCCTCTCTAGCCGCCCATTCTAGTGCCTCCATGCTCGGGAGGACAGTAAGACGAATTTTAAAATTCGAGTCCATTCCTGCCCTTTGGGTAAGGTGCCACCACCTCCAGGTGCAATGCTAAGACCGTGGCAAACCGAGAAGGGCACTGAGGAGTGGCCCTGGAGCCAAAGCCCCCCGGTGATGCTGAGCTGGGTGGAGTTAGTTATAAATTAGAATTCATATGACTTTAAATGCCATGGCTTGCATGCACTGCTCATATCAAAGCATGGCGAAGTTATGAACCCTCTGCTTAGCTGATTGGCCTCGGGTTCTAATCTCTAACGGGGACTGTTAGCCCCACTGACTTCAGAGGGTTGCTGTTGAGGGTAAGTCGAGGCGGTTCGCACAGAGCGGTTACCGAGCTCCTGCTCTGGACAGGGCCCTCGGAAACTCCAGCAGGGACCTCCGTCCTGTCACAACTGCTGAGGAAGAGCCCAGTTCTGGGGGGGCTTTCTTAGGGAGAAGCCTTTCGTCGAGGGCCAGCATCAGGCCTGGTGAGCTAG